TAGTGCAGATTCTGCATTCTGGCTACTTTGCACTTGAATAAGATGTAAAGAATTTTTCCTGCTTAGGATGGCTGCCTCCTCTTTGACAACCTTTGCTTGTTTTCTCTGCAGAATTTGTATCCTGATCTGATGTTTTCCTGTTGGCAATTATTGTCCTTGCCACATGGCTTGTGTTAGTACCTCCTTAGGTAATTTATTTTAAAAGTGATTTGCTCCACAAGTGTGGATTTGTAACACTGACTTGTGAATCACATTTTATAATTTTAGTAAGTTGCTTTTTTTTTTCCCCCAAAGTAAAAATAACTGTACAACTAACAAACCAGGTATTCTAAGAACTGAGATTTTTGTTAAACTGCTAGGAACCTGCATGTCAAAAATCATGTATATATTGCATGATACAAGAGTTCCTGGCAACATTATACTTTTTTTTTAATAGCTGGAAAACATCTTTCTCTATATGCCATAACAGGAACTTAATTTTAAAATCCCAGCACCTATTTGCTGAATATTCTGCTTAGGGTACCCTAAAATATCAGCCACTCCTGGTACTGTTTGTGCCTGACCTGTCCTTGCTCCTCAGCCCTGCTCCTGTGTGCCTCTTCCTACTGCTGACTGACTTCTGCATCGTGTTCATTCACCTGTTCCTGGCCCATCTTTAAAAGCACTTGCTTGTGGTGGTGGCTAATTACACGTGTGGGAAAATGGATTAAAAAAAAATGTTCATTTTCAATGAAAAAATCTTGCCTTCCCTCTCTCTTTTTGGATCATGTCTTTTAAAATCCAACACGACTGAAAATCCTGGGACCATAAAATGCTGCTGCCTGGCTCTGTGATTTCTGCTTGGGTTTGGCTGAATAATAGATATTAAAGAAAAACAAAGCCCATATTGTTTTTACTGCTTTTAATATCAGTAAAATATTTGCAGCATTTCAAAGCTTCATCAGTTCTTCCCCTGTGAGATTACAAGTGTAAATTTTGATTTGTTTAAAGGCAAGGTTGCTTATAAGTTGCAGATGGTATCTGGGAGTACAGCAGTGTAGAGGGGGAAAAAGACAAAGGGGTGGTTTTGTTTTCCTTGGGGGGTGCAACTGGCAGTCTTGAGGAATAAGTGGCTCATGAAAACGTTTAATCTCACTCACAGAAAATTCCTCTGTCTTAAGTTCTTAATACTTGGTAAAATACAAAATATGACTAGTATTAGGGGGAGAAAGTAGGAAAACTGAATCCAATGTGACAGGGTAGAAGGAAAAACATGCATCCTCTCCCACATGGGAGACTGGGCTTCATATTTTAGATACCAAATTTTATTTTCCATTATTTTTCTTTTCAGTTGTTTTTTTTGTGTGTTGAATATTATAAAACTCCTGTAGCTTACATAGTTCAGCCTCTTTCTGCTCACCCAAGTTTTCTAAAACTCCCCACTGCACACAGGAGCTTTAAATGTGCTGTGTTTGGCCACAACATTCTCCAAGTGACCTAGAGGTAATGATTGTTTCAACTTTAACCTTGATGTTTGCAAGCAATCGATTTGTTTATGCAGTGAATCCAGACTTTGGTACTGCTTCTCAGAGACCTTTGCATCTCAGAGACCTCTTTCCTTCCAGGGATTATCCCTGCTGTGGCAAATATTCCATGTGGAAGGCCCAGGGGTTGAGTCTCCCACCATCTCTTTCCAAAAATGAGCCAAATAACTGATTGCTGCATGGTGAGGTGTTTTTCTTTGCTAATTTGGCTGTGATTTCTTTAAGGACTGTTTCAGTTCTCTAGGTAAGTTCCTCGTGGGGTATTTGCAGTGTGGTGGGGGGAGAAAAGAGGACTTTTGAAAACTGAAGAAACAGAGCAGACAGAAGGTTTAGTGCAGGAATACTAGATGTTTTACTTAAAAATGGGTTTTGTGCTTATGAGGAAATTAATTGGTGGGTGAGCATACATCCCTCAAGCATTAGGCTAATTATTAATTTAAGTAGTCATTTATTTAGGACCCTCCTTTATGTAATTTCTGATTATTCTTTTTCTCCAGTAACTATGGTCACGGATGTTACAATCATTTTAATTTCTATTTTATGTCTTCTGACAGGTTTATCAGTATCCAACGTAGATATTTCTGGATGTTTTGTCAGGTTACAAGATCTATAAGAGAAGTGAAGGTTGCTCTTGGAGACAAGGAAACTGTTGAGCTTTAAAAAAAGGTGAAAACTGGAATTTACTCAGCAGTTTAAGATTATGGGAAATCTGTAGGGACTGGGACTGGCAGCAGTTACACTCCAGTCCTCTATGGGAACAAAGTTCTTTTGTTTCAGTTTTCCTTTGTGATGTTGTAAAATAATTGGGCATCACAATGAGTATCACTTGGGTGCTTTTAAATCCTTGCCTTTGGGTTCATCCTTTCAGAAAGAAGTGCACGAGAACTCTTGTGTTGCTTTCAAGCATTCTCTTACAGTGCTGGCAACCTGGCACCCTGGCCTAATGAGTCTTTAATGTATCAAATTGGATAACTTAATTATTTTTAAATGCAGCCAAGCTGTGTGTAGTCATAGAGCAGCAATGTGACAAAGCCAAGTGAAATCAAGAGTAACGTGCCTGTGGTCTGTAACTGGGTTGGAAATCATGGATACATTCCCTTTCTTGGTCTCCTAGATGTTCTAGATAGAACATGTTTTCCTTTTCTAGTTAAAACTGCCATGCTTCAAAGAAATTTGGCATATGGAATTTTACTAAAGGTCCTTGTAGTGTGAGACAGAAAATTAGTGACACCATCTGATTGTTTTTCCTAGTCAAGAAGGGAGAGAGGAATTTTATCTTGTTGGGTTTGTAATATTCAGGTATTTAGAGAGAATTTTTGTAATTTGTGATTCCTTTAAGTCTTCACTCTTCAGAACTGACTGTTGTCTTTGTCTGGGTTTTACTAATCAAACTACAAGGAACCTTCTGAAAACTTCACCATCTGAGTTGTGCTGGACAGATCCTGAAGTCTTTGGTGTTTCCTCTCAGAAAACCCTTCATTTTAGCATGTGAACTGAAAAATTGAGTAGAAGCTCTGGGTTTTGCTGTGTGTTTGTGTCTGCTGCTCCTTTAGTCCTGTCCTTGCAGGTATATGTTCAGCTGCTATGCTGGAGAAAAAAACTCTGCTCCACAATGGTTTTGGGGTTGGAAAAAGCTAAATTGTCACAAGATCATTACTGTAGCTATTATTTTCATTAATTGCAGGAAAGAGAATCTAACTAGACACTGTTTAAGTAAAGTCCTTTCATAGCCTCAACATTGTTCCTGAAACAAACAGGTAGAATGATGCACAGAGGTGTAAGAAATCACCCAAGGGATTTATAAAACTTATGGTTTTGTTGTAGTAACAGAGTTTATGATTACACTACAATTTCAATCTCCCCTTTTACCCCAGGGGGTTCACATTTTTATGTCCCTTCACCTGGCTAAGAACAAGAAATGGGGACACAGAGATGAGCCACTACAGCCAGTTGGTACCACAAATCCAAAACTGGGCTCCTGTGAAAATCAAAGGCAAGCTTTGCCAAGTGCCAAGTGTACACACATCAACTCACCCTGGCTGGAAAGGTGCAGACTGGAGAAGAGAACATCTCAGTAACACAGATTTTGTTTGGTTTGCCTTGCAGCCATGTGATGGAACACACTGGAGAACACTAGAGGGGTGACACAGATGCACCACTGGTTGTCCATGAGATAGCAGAAGGAGGTGGGAGTGTGCACTGGTAAGTGCCCCTGGAAAAGAAATCATCTTAAAAACAGTGTGTGCCTTGCAGGTTGTCTCCTTTAGAGTTGGTTGCATCAGAGTAAAATGAGGCACATGTAATTGAAGGCAGAGTTTTGCCATCAGCATGGCATGAATCTGTCACAGATCATCAAAGAGAAGGATTGATCCCTCAATATAAAACGTTTAGTCTCCTATGAATCAAACTAGCCATGTGATGGAACACACTGGAGAACACTAGAGGGGTGACACAGATGCACCACTGGTTGTCCATGAGATAGCAGAAGGAGGTGGGAGTGTGCACTGGTAAGTGCCCCTGGAAAAGAAATCATCTTAAAAACAGTGTGTGCCTTGCAGGTTGTCTCCTTTAGAGTTGGTTGCATCAGAGTAAAATGAGGCACATGTAATTGAAGGCAGTTTTGCCATCAGCATGGGATGAATCTGTCACAGATCATCAAAGAAAAGGATTGATCCCTCAATATAAAATGTTCAGTCTCATATAAATCAAACTAGTTGATATTTGAAACCTTAAATAACATCAAGGTAAGGTTTTTTTCCCACATTTTCTTAGGAATCTGTGCTGTTGCATGAAGTTGATGACATTGGTGGCTAGTTTTGAAGAAAATTTAAAAAACTTATTACACAGTAGGAAATAAGAGTTAATTGTAGGGTTTACAGATATATTGGATTGCTGGAGCACTCTTGCTGAAGGTGTTCTTTGCCTGAAGGAAGTCAAATACTATTAGTTTGGCCCAATTCTACAAGGATTTAGTGTAAGACAGCATTTTGTTCCCTGTAGTGTCATAAGACCTATTGGATAAATTGAGAAGAGATGAGAGCAGAGAACCAAATCAGCATCTGTGAGGCTGTTAGACCAGGTGAGCAGAGACTGCTCAAACAATGTGTGCATTTGGAGATTTCTTTTCTCTAAATCTAGGTGGGAAGTGCATAATGCCTGCTATACAAACACAACATGTAACTTTAGTCTGCAAAAGAGAGAAAACAACCTGTAGATTAATCTTATCATAACTGTAATTAAGCATTTTCATTATTTTTTTTTCCTTTGTCCTGTTGATGATTCACATTGCCTAAATCTGGAGCAGCAGAATGTTTGACAGGATTTCACTGTTGGATTAGAATTCATGTATTCAGTGTGCTGTAACTGATTCTAATATATTAAAAAATAAAGTGTTGTGATATTCTAAGTACAGGATTTCTTTTTAATTATTCTTTTGCCAGTGTAAAGAAGTTTAAGTGACTGCTCTTCTTGATGAAAATGGTGGACACTGAAAACCAGCTCTATCCCCTCACTCCCTTGGAGGAGGAGGATATAGGCAGCCCTTTATCTGGAGAGTTCCTACAAGATATGGAGAACATTCAAGACCTCTCTCAGTCTCTAGGTGATGATAGCTCTGGAGCTTTAAGTTTAACAGAGTTCCAGTCTCTGGGCAATGGCCCAGGGTCAGATGGATCAGTTAAAACAGGTAAGAGAGCTTGGGGTCACCATAAATACACACTGATACAAACTTAAAACTTTCTTTAATGCAGTAATTATTGTTTAGGACTAAGGGACACTAGAAATGTACAAGCTGATTCTAGCATGGTTTTAACATATTTACTTCTAAAGTTAATTTACTAGACAAACATCACTGAAAAATTACTGTAGCATAAAGTTGCTGTTTTAAGTGATCCCTGGTACCAACACCTTTGTCAAAATATCTTTTAAAAAATCACTATTACCAGGAAATAAGTTACTGTGTATTGCACTGATATAGGAAGTCACAATATTGCACTAGAGGAATTCCCCATTTTTTAAAGTTTCTTTAAATCACATATTGGGAAATTATTGTGAAATGTGTGCAAATAATGTCTAATGCAACCCTTAAAATCTCACCTGGAATTCCAGCCTATTTTGGCATCCTGATGTTTTGAACAGGCCATTTTCTCCCCCCTCTCCAGAGCAGCATTGTTCTGAATGGCAGTGCAGCCATTCAGAGCAGTTTAATGATTAACTTTCTGGCTGCTTGACATCATCATTTGTTTCAGGGCTTTCTGACTTTAACTCATTGCCCAGGCTGTGATCACTAATTTACCTTACAAAACCTGCTCTACTACAGCCCAGGTGTTACTCTACAGTTTTGCTGTTAGAGAAGATGGAAAATGTAAACTTTTAAGGTTCAAATTCCAGAAGGCAAGGAAAAAGAAATGAGAATCACCATTTTAAAAAAAAAATATCCAGGTTTTTAGGCTGTTCTTGATGAGTCTGGTGCCCGTGGGCTTGGCATTGCTGGCAACCCAGACCTGAGTTCTGTGCCAAGGTTTTTTCCAACATAATACTTGCTGACCTACATTCATGAATGTTTCCTCATCTTTCTGTTAAAATAAACACCCACTAATTTGCTCAAGTCTTGCAGTGCAAGCTGCAAGATGGGAGATAAAAGAAATTGTGGCCTCTAAAAAGATTTTCCTGAATATAAGGTGGAAATATTAATTGAGATAATTACAGGTGGAAGGGGTTAGTTTTGCAACACGTGCCTCTAGTAGCAAGGTGTCTGGAGAGTTTATTTCCTCCTGCACCAACTCAGAAATGCTTTTTCCATGATCATCAGGACGTAGAGTCCCAGGGCAAGGCTTCTGTTGCTGGATCATCTTTGAAGCAGACGTTTGTGTTGCTGTCCTCTTAGCACCTGTTTGGCCTTTCCACTCATGTGCAGGAGCAGGCTTTCCCTTTGAGGAAATTCTTCAGGGAGAGCAGTTGTCCAACTGCTTCAGAGCCTCCTGTAAAACTATGAATAGCTCTTCAGAAGTCGAGGGGACTTCAAGTGTATCTTAAGTATCAGCATGAGTGGGAGTGTGTCTCCTGTCACACCACAGCAGCACATCAGTGCCACAGCACCAGAGATGGAAGATGGAACAGCAGGATGTAACTCTCCTAACTCAGTAACTCTCTGGAAAGAGCCAACAGATGTTGTGATACACACTTGGAATCTTGGGGGGTTTTATTTCATTGTGTTTTGGGTTTTTTTTTTTCCCTTTTTCTATTTTGTACTGTTTGTCTTGAGCAGCAGATGAATGTTGAGTACTGCTTTTCTGTTTCAGATTTGTTATTTGTGAAGACATAGATGTGTCTTTTCACAGTGTATCAATATTATAATGTGAATATATGAATATATGAATATATGAAAGAGAATATGTGTGTTTTCATGATTGACAAGAAATATTGATTCAGTGCTTTTTAGTTACTTTAAGTGATGGGATTAAAAATTTTCACATTCACACCAAATTGAAAAACATTTGAAAAAATCAAAGTAAAAAGTGGAAGATGGGGAACTGCAGAAAATCTTTGTTTTCTCTTATTTTGTGTGGTGTTTATTTCTTGAATCCTCCAGAACCATCATCACCCTCTGGTTCTTTTTGTCAGGGTTCCTTTGGTAAGGCTTTCTGTTTGCTGGCAGGGTATGGCTCATCCAAATGAGCAGGGTACACCCTGTTTGTTGTGTGTGTTTGTTAGCATAAATAGTAATTACTTTTCAAACACTGGTGGCCAAATTATTAGTTGACTTAATGACTATTAACTCAATTATTTTTTAGAATAAGCTCGTTTTTGTGTGGATTTAGTATAGAAATGGCATTGTTCTCAACAGTAGAGCATTTATGAAGTGTTCCTTTTTCTTTTAGACACCCTTTCACCAGCATCCAGTCCTTCATCCATTAATTTTGCCACAGCTCCAGGTAGCATAGATGAATCACCCAGTGGAGCATTAAATATTGAATGTAGAATTTGTGGGGATAAAGCCTCAGGCTACCATTACGGAGTACATGCTTGTGAAGGTTGTAAGGTACAGTTGTAATTTTCTTCTTAAAAAAACCTAAATGATGTTGCTTTATTTACAGGGTTATATGAAGAGAAACGTTTCTTCCATAAATGGTTAATTAATATAATTCTCACCATGACAATTACGTAAATAATAAACATACCTGTGACCTTTTTGCTGAAATAAATTGTCCAGGTCCCATAACTGGATACCATAACTCAATACCAGACCTTCATCAAGCAGGGGCAATTCACAAGGATAATTTTAATATAGTTATTGAAACACTAAACCAAATTAAAACACTAAACTGTGACTAAAAGGCCAAGCCTGCTTGCTCCACTAGTGTTTTATTTGTGTTGGGAGTATGGCTGTGAGAAGCATGTGAGCTTGCTGCATTTCCATTCTAACAGTAGCAAACCCTCAATTTCTCATCTCCACCACATCCTGCCTGAATCACTCTTGTAGTTTTGGGGCCAGTGAACATTTCTGGGGGAAATTAATCTTATCATTAATGTATAATTTTGGGGATGACACGGCCCATGAATTACAAGATTCTTTTCCTTCTAATGTTCTACATTTTTTTTTCCTGAATTATTATGGGAAAGAAATAATTCTATCTGTGTACACTTTCCTTCCATGCTCAATGTCAGAATATGGTGAGCTGAATATAGAATACAGTGTCTGTTGGGGATGGGGAGCCAGCTCATGGTCAGCCCTGTCCCCTGGTCCAAATGAGGTGTCGTTCCATCACGGGAAGCAAAAGGTCTCTGAGCTTGTTGGCCCTGTGATTTTGCAGTATGAGGCTAACCTTACACTGCAATATCAAGACATCACAGCAAAATCTCTTGAGTTATTTGCTCTTCTGCAATGCTCAGTTTGTGTCCTGGGCTTTTTCTGCCCACTGTGCTGTGGAGGAGAGGGTGTGTTAGATCTGTGTGTGTGCCCGACTTACACGTGCGGAAGGTGGAGGTCGTTTCTGACAGAGGTGAGTGCAACAGGAACAGTGTGTGACTGCTCTGCTTGAGCCCTCAGAGCAGATCTGGGGCACTCTGGCCTGTTGGTCCTCTCCCCAAAAAGAGGGCTGAGAGCTACTCCCTTCTTTTGTGCTTTCCACTCTGTCCTTGCCTCCATGCCCAGCACTTCACTGCACAGATCCTCCCCTTCGGCTGGGTTGTACTTCACGTATTGTTTGCTAGCGACATCAATAAACAATAAAAGTAAAAACAACCAACTTGTTGCCATGTTTTCTTGACATGCTATCCTGTTTTCTTCAACTCTTGTAGGGTTTCTTCAGGAGAACCATTCGTTTGAAGCTTGTCTATGATAAATGTGATCGCAGCTGCAAGATCCAGAAGAAAAACCGCAACAAGTGCCAGTACTGCCGCTTCCAGAAGTGCCTCTCCGTTGGGATGTCACATAATGGTAGGTAAGAGTGCCCTTAATCATTCCTTTGCTCCTCCCTACAGGCTGCTTCTGGAAGCAGGCACTCGGGCAGCATTTTTACTTGCATGTGTGAGTTGAACGTGGGGTTGTTACAGCACGGGTGGTGGCGGATCCCAGAGCTTTGGCACCATCGCTCCCATTGAAGCAGGTTTCATTGCTGGGAGGATGCTGATCAAGGGCATTGTGGAGGAGTAGGAGGAGGACAACTGGCTCATTGTGGGAGGGAATGACATAGGACAGAAATCTGCAGGAAACCAGACTCCATTATTTTTCAGGTTGGAGTGCAGCAGCTCTGGGGCGGATGGTTCAGTGGGCGTGGGGGTTGGGTGAAGGTCTGTGCTGACTCTGAAACAGGAGGCTGGGAGCTCACACCTCGGGAGCAGTTGGGGAGTGGGTGAAAATGCTGGGCTAGGGGAAAAGCTGTGGGTTAGGAGATGAAGTCTCTCAGGAAACAATGCAGTCAAGATGGCCAAGGTGGGGACATGGCTGGGGAAGCTGCCTGTGACAGTGTAGTCTAGAGTCATAGCAAGAGATGTTGGGACAGCTGACTGCCTGCTTCTGGGGAAGTCTGGGTGTGGATAGTCTCTGCAAGACTGGTGATAACCCTCCTGAAGCAGCAGACTTGGGAAGACTGTGAGCAGGAGAACATCTCAGGGGCAGGAGCGGAGCTGGGAGCTGTGCTGGTTGCCAGGAGGTAACACTGAGCTGAAGCTGTTTCATCCTGCTCCAATGCTGTGGGCACCTGTGCTCCAGCTGGGGCACTTTTCCTGAAGCACAGGCATGGGAGGCAGTGGGGGAAGGAGGTGGCTGCTCACTTGTAGGTGGTACTTTTCTCACCAAAAGAGCTAGAGCTAGATTTATAGTCAAGACCTCAAAACTCATCATTTTCTGTTTAGAGCAGTTATTTTTCCACTTTTCCCATAGACTCATGGCCAGATTCCAAACATATTTTCTGTGTTTGACTTCCACTGAAGTGCAGAACTGTATTTCAGGTCATGCCTAGAGTCCCCTTATGCAATGAGAAGCCTCCTTAGCTCATGAGACAACCCCTTGGGCGTGCTGAAAGGCTCCCTCTGCACATGCTGGGAACTGCTCAGCCTCAGCAGTGAGGGTCTGTCCTCTCCCTGGCTAGATGCTGAAGTGCAGTAGGACTCAGGAGCTGCATTAGCCACCCTAAAACCTTGCAGGCCATCAGGTGCCTGTTCAAATGGAGCTAAGTGGTTCAGTTTCACACTGGCACTGAAGAAGGAATGTGGACCTGCCTGTTTTAGTGCTAAATGGCCAGACCACTTGCCAAAGAACTGGGAGACTTCCATACCTCCATTTTTTTCCAGCTAGAAGGTCCCACAGTGCTAATTGGCCAGTGTAAAAGGCATGGGATTTTTTTTATATATCTAACTTAAAGTTTGTTTTCCAATTCTGTCTTCCCACCAGCAATACGTTTTGGACGAATGCCAAGGTCTGAGAAGGCCAAGTTGAAAGCAGAGATTCTAACAGGTGAAAACTATGTAGAAGATTCAGAAATGGCAGACCTTAAATCACTTGCCAAAAGAATTCATGATGCTTACCTGAAAAACTTCAACATGAACAAGGTTAAAGCCAGAATCATCCTTGCAGGAAAAACTAATAACAATCCAGTAAGTACTTCTGCTGAAACTTTAAAGCTGGCAAGTACAGGAGGTGATGATAATAATTTGTTAAACTCTTAAGCAAATCTTTTAGAAAACAACTATCATGGTAATAGAGACATGAATTATGCCAAAAGAATATCTGTAGTAAATGTGGTTGCTTTTAGGCACCACCAGAATAATAAACATCTTCAGGAAATTCAGGTGATTAACTTGTCAATGGAAGCTTGTGACCTTGAGTGACAGAGGACACACAAGGGAAAGAAAATTAGTTCTTAATTAAAAAAAAAATGACATCTGAATGTGAATACCTCTGCACAGAACTGGGGCAAAATGGTTCAAAATGAATTATTATGGCAGTGAAAAAAAGAAATGGGAATGTTTTTCTGCTCCAAATGGCAGGATAAATACTGTCATGTTTAGGGGTGTACAGGAGCTCTGTGTGACCTGTGTTTTAATCACAACAACATTTAATTTAGCCACTGTCTACCTCATGCTTTTAACTGCTTTTTGGTTTGTTGCACATGAGGTCATGGAACCATTGCAAGGATTTACTTGGTTTACTTCAAGTGTGTTTTTTTCTTTAATTCTGTTGTGATTTAGGTTAATTACATGTAGAAGATGAGTGAAATTGTTGGTAAACCAAGATCATTTCAGTCAAAATTTGCAGGGGAGAGGCTTTGTGTATGCCATAAAAAAACAAATTGCAAGCAAGCTGTCTTCTAAATGCTGGAATTTGACACATTTATAGTTTGGGCTAGCCAAGTGTACAAGCTCCTACATTCAGAGACACATAGGAATAATCCCAGTTTCCTCCAGTGGATTAAAGACATGCTCAAAATCAAGAACAGGTTTAAACTTTTTGTTTTGTTGTTTACAAGCTGAATAAACCTATTTTATGGGTAAATTCCCAAAAGATTTACAAGACAGTCTACATTTTTTTAGGGGTTTATTTGTGGTGGGTTTCTTGCTCTGCCACGTTGCACTCATACCCACAGGCACATAGAAAGCTCTGTTCTAGCTCTGAAGTCCTGAGGTGAGGTGGAATGTGTCACTGCCATCCACATTTGAAGAGCAAACAGCAGGTTTGGTAGTTTTCTGAGTGAAATAAGTGAATTCTATGAGTTTCTCACAGAACACTTGGTGTTCCTCACGATCCTTCATCTGAGAGGAGCACAGGGAAGACCCATTGCTTAGCATTTTTGGAACTGGATGTATGCTGCAGGTCCATTGCCATGGCTCTGGTAGGCTGGGGAGCTCTGGGTTTTGTTCTGTTTCTTTACTGCATTGCTTTTATTGCTGCTCTGCAGATAGGTGGGGAAGTATTTTGGAGTTCTGGTCGTTCTGAAGAAAATCTGAATGCTTTGTTTAATACAATGTTTTAAGAAACTGGCTCATTGCTTTGTAATGCATCTACCTTTTTTTTTTTTCAATTAAAGGGGTGAGAGAAAAAACTGAAATTCTGTGTTGTCTGACACTCTAGTGGGACTCTGGGCTCAGAGGTGCTTTAGCTCTAACTGCAGCCAGCCAGACGAGCCGAATTTCTCAGGCAGATGAGCTGCCAGATAGGAAAATCTGCTAATAAAACACAAGAGTAGCCTTGTGCCAATGTGCTGTCCTCTATTGAAACGACTGTCTGTATTCCCCCTAGGATACTTCAGGAAAGCATCATGATGTGCATCAAGTGTAGTTAGTTTAGGATTCGATAGGATTGTAGGCAGAATAACCCGGACTTCTGGAGAAGGTAATCCAAGTCTTTTGTGAACCTTCTGGGACTTGCTCTGAGATGAATATATGCATACTAAGCACAGTACTTCTGGATCTGCACTAAAACGACTCTCTAAAAGTAGATTAAAGCTGTGTTGTACCTGTTTTCATTTTGCTCTTTGCATTCTGGTTTGCAGAGCAGGCTTGTCCTTAGACACTGCTGTCATACGGGGGTTCTCTTCAGGCAGCAGTCTGAAAGAACTCCTCCTGTATTGAGAGCTGAAGGCTGATTAGCATGACAATTAAAAGTTTATCAGCATCCCTGCTCTTTAGGGAACCAGTGATTCATGACCATTATTTTGTGACTATTTCTCCTCTGCAGCCGTTCATTATCCACGACATGGACACCTTGTGCATGGCAGAGAAGACCCTGGTGGCCAAACTGGTGGCCAATGGCATTCAGAACAAGGAGGCAGAAGTCCGAATCTTCCACTGCTGCCAGTGCACGTCCGTAGAGACTGTCACAGAACTCACTGAATTTGCCAAATCCATCCCTGGCTTCTCCAGCCTCGACCTGAACGACCAAGTGACGCTGCTCAAGTACGGGGTCTACGAGGCCATCTTCGCCATGCTGGCCTCTGTGATGAACAAGGATGGCATGCTGGTGGCCTATGGGAACGGCTTCATAACCCGGGAGTTCCTGAAGAGCCTGAGGAAGCCATTCTGTGACATCATGGAGCCCAAATTTGATTTTGCAATGAAATTCAATGCACTGGAGCTGGACGACAGCGATATATCCCTTTTCGTTGCTGCCATCATCTGCTGCGGAGGTGAGTGCTAGGTGGTGGCTCTTCATGTCACAGGACCTAAGGAGAGAGGGTTTGGGGTGTTTTTAGATGCCTCTTGTTTGAATTAACTTTTTGAGTAGAGGATTAGAATCCTTTCTTTCCTTCAGAAAGCTGAGGACATTCATATTTAAGGTTAGATTCCAAACTATCCATACGCATTTTGAGAAAGGGAAATAAAAGATCCAGAAAGTTCCAACAGCTGCCCCCAACTCCCTTTTTTTTTGTATCCTGCCAAACCCACAGGATGTTTCGCTGCCCCAGTTGCATCCTGGGCCAGCACAAGAAGAGAGAAACAATCTGTAGACTTCCAAAAGCTTCCTGTGCTGGTTGGGACAGCATGTTCCCATCAAGTCTTGAGTTCCTTCTGCCCAATACATTGGTGTGCTGACGTTTCCCAAATCAAGAGAGTTCTTTGCAGGGAAAATGCTGTGAGTTCTTCTTTTCCCCTTTATCATTCTCCTTTGAACTAGCTTCAGTTCCCAACATTAGTCAGTCTGTTGTCCCAGAGTTCTTACAGAGAAGTTTGATCTGGAGAGCTGAAGGTATTGCAGGACTGGAAGCAGCTGGAAATGAGATCCTGGACTGGGCAGAGTGAAACATCTTTGTGTTCATTTGTGCCGTGCTGTTTGGCCAACAGACTTCAAGAACTCCCTAGCAGCAGCCACAGGCTTTTGGGTTTTTTTCCATCCTTCCTGTTTGAATTCTTTTATCAGGACACACAGAATATAGAACTGGATTCCTAGGCTGGGGATTCTGGTGGTCTGGGGGGTGAGAGGGTGGTGTGGATGTTCTGATCTCTCCCCAAATATCCGTGGGCATGGACAAAACTTTGGCCAAAGGAAGACTACATTTATTTTTTAGTTTTAAATTTCTTCTTTTCTCTTTTTTGTTCTTCATTTTAAAGATTCATTTTGAGTGTTCTGATCTCTCCCCAAATATCTGTGGGCATGGAGAAAACTTTGGCCAAAGGAAGACTACATTTTTTTTTTTTAGTTTTAAATTTCTTCTTTTTTGTTCTTCATTTTAAAGATGCATTTTGAGCTGAGTGTATAAATGTAAATACACACTGCAGCCTGCAGTAGAGCATTTAGAAATTAGCCTGCTTTAAAGCACAGCTCAGTGACCTGTGTTCTTGGGTTTGGGTGGGGAACAGACCGTCCTGGCCTGGTCAACGTGGGACACATTGAGAAGATGCAGGAGAGCATCGTGCACGTCCTGAAGCTTCACTTGCAAACCAACCACCCTGATGACACCTTCCTCTTCCCAAAACTCCTCCAAAAAATGGCTGACCTCCGACAGCTGGTCACAGAGCACGCTCAGCTTGTCCAGATCATCAAGAAGACTGAATCTGATGCACATTTACACCCTTTACTACAGGAAATCTACAGGGATATGTATTAAGGATTTTTAGGATTTCTTGGTTTTTTTTTCCACACTATTTAAAGACAAGAGCAATACTGATTACAGATGGGAGCAACACTACTGGCACAGCTACCTGCTGTTCACTCAGCCCCAGAGCATGGAGAATCTGAAAGCTGGGTAGCTGGAATGTGACACTTCTTTTGGTTTGGGATCTTTTGTCTTCTTCTGAAAGAGTTCTGCAGAAGAACACTGCTCGTCAAGTGGTTCTTTCATTTGGAAATTTGAAGATGGGTAAGAAATAGCTATTAATTTGAAAAAATAAATCAGAATCTGAAGTACCAGAAATGAACTAAACTGTGTTTCCTCTTGGCTTGTTTTAGAATTCATAGAACCAGTCCAGCAAATGATCTCCAGGTACCTGCACAGCCCTAAAGAGTTTGCACTTTTGGCTCCTGGTAGTTACCTAGAACCAACCAACACTTTGTCTTACAGCAGTCAGTCAGCCCAGGTCTGTCAGCTGGTTGGAGGTTACCCTAAGTACAGTTCTACAAGGTTTGAAAGACCTTTGATCCAGTGCTCCTTTACTTCCACAAAGCACAGCCCAGCTCCATCCAGTGTCCCCTTAGGAGCAGTGTGTCTAAAAGGTGGTTCTTTTCTGGAATCAAACAGAATCTGAAGAGTTATTTAAAATACAGCAAAAGTTGCTCCAGTACAGTGTTTCCTGACAAGTGAATGTCATCCAGCTGAGGGCAAGACCCTGTGCTAGTTCTTCTTTCCCTCTTGTTGCTTTTTTTTACTTCACATTTTCATTGCCTTTTACTATTTGTTGTATAATACAAAGATCTCAGGAGCCCATCTTGGCATTTTCACAGCTGCTGCTAAGCTTTCAGTGCCACTTGGTACTTGTTTCACTGCAGCACCTTTGAAGGCTCCAGAATCTTAAACCTTCCCTGCAAGAATTGAGCTTGCTGAAGTGAGAACATCACACATGGGCTCTTATTTAAGTCACAGCAGTTTCCTTACAGGCCCCACTGGTGGGGCTGGATGCTGGGTGACAGGTTGAGCAGCAATTTGGTGTTTAAACAGGAGATGGTTCTAGTGCCAGATAGATTTAGTGTAAAATACTGTGAAATTCTTCTGTGTCTTGCAGCAGGACGTGGTGCACCCTCCAAAATAACAGGGATTTTAGCCAGGATGCTGCTTTATTCTTCCAGCCACGTTCCACTGAGGAGCTGTGGGCTTTAGGCAGAAGACATTCAGCTTTGGAACAACTGGTGAGCAGTGTTCCTTCATCCAGGTCAGGCTCTCAGCTCTCCTGCCATGGCACACTGAAACTCAGAGGCCCAACTCAAGCTTAGCTTCTAATAAGAGCATTTTTTTCCACCCCTCAATGAGTTTGGGATGTAGCACTGAGGAGCCTTCAGCATCTCCCCCTTGTACAGATCATCCAGTCTTTTAAAATCCCTGCTCTGTGGAGGGAAATGAAGCAATCAGGTTTTAGGATGAAAGGTTGATTACAGACTGACTGGCTGGTTTAGGCAGAGTTTTGATCTGATGCTTTCCAGCCCAGCTTGTTTTACTGTCACAGCACCTGGTTAGCAGCCAGGTACCCACCAACAGCTCGAGACCAGAGACAACAGATGGGGAGAGAAAAATCCTAGGATGCAATGGTACAGCCTCACTTTTCAACAAACCTACAACTCAGTCAGTTTTGGGGTTGTTTTTTTTTGGGGGGTGTGTGGATTTTATTTATTTATTCATGTCCTAGGTACTATGGCAAAGGGTGGGGAAAATAAAAGGTGTTTGTCCAGTGTTAGGGGAGTCTGATGGTCATTTTCCTCTCCTTAAATATTTCATTTGAAGGTGTGCTGTCCCCAGGGTAGCAGCACACAACTGCTGTGTGAAAAAAACAACCACTTTGTACCTCTTGAAATTCCAGAATCCCCCTTCTGCTTGAAACAGAACCTGACAGACAATAGATAGGAACCTCTTCCACTTAGAGAAATCACATCTTGCTTTGCATTTACATAAACCTTATTTATTGAACTGCCCTTTCCCTCTGCCTTGGTGCTAGCCAGCTGCTGGGAGGCTGAGGTGTTGCCAGGGAGCCTATTTTTGCATTATTTCTGGCCCCCCCAGGTTTAGGAAATACCAGCAGCTGCACTAAGCCCCTTCTCATGAGAGGGCTGGCACAGGTCTGCAGATCAGGGAGCTTAGAATAAGCTTGGGGGTGTCTGTTTGTTTGTTCACTCTGCTGGAACAGGGGGAGATGAATGAGTCAGGAGAGCTGGGTCACCTCCTGCCACAGGGGAACCTCCCCCCTTGTCATGGGAAGCTTCACCAGGTGGGCACCACCCCGGGGAAAGCAGCTGGAGGAGGTGACACTGGAGCTGAGGAAGGTTCTCAGCTCTGTCTCCCCTGAAAAGCCTCCAGGACCTTGAACTGATACCTTGGCAGCTGCTGGCACCTTGCTGAAGCCCAAGGTCTCACCAGTGCTGGTCCTGCCCCAAAATCCTGCTTACCCCCCTGCAGGGGAAGGTGGAGTGTGGTACCTGCTGGTTGCTTCTAGCTCCAGTCCTTCATAATCAGTTGCATATAATGACTATTTTTTAAATCTGGGTTTAATCAGCTTTATTACCCTTCTTTTACTCTGATTTAAATTTATATGTGGGTTTGATCAAAGACTATTTATATTTACATATTGAGTTTTTTTTTTTTTTTTAATGTGCTACCATTTCATGTTTCCACTTGTAAAATACAAGAATAAAACCACAATTCTATTCTCACTAAATTATATGACAGAGGTGCTTTAAGACAACACTGTAAATTATTTAATTTAAATATTTGTTTCCTACTTTATCTCCTGAGCCTGTTTGTACAGTGAGGGCCTGAGGTCAAAGGTAAATTGCTATTTATTCCTGTCTGGTCTTTATTCCTGTATTATTGGTGACAAAAGATCACAAAATCTGCTTGGTATTGTAACAAAATGTTAAAATCTATTTGGAGGAGTTTCATGGCACTCTAGAAAGGAGAAAAAAAAGGTGATATCCTCCTTCAAAATGATTTATCCCTTCAGTAATAAGAAATATTACACCATTTTAATGTTGGAGGTTTTAAGAACACCCCTCTCAACTGCTTGGCAGAGTCTGGTTCATTAGCTGAGTTTTGGCCACAAACCATTGGCTCTGGATTGCCTTCAGGAGGGGTGATTGATAGAGCAGTTTAATCCCATCACAGTGTTAGGGCCCTTTATCACCTTTTCAATGGTCTGTCATCTGATAGGACACCAAAAACACCCCCACATTTTTGTTGACATTGCCCAACCCTAATCACTGGAGCTAACAAGTGTTTAATTAAATCAAGGTATCAATAAAAAAAACCACACCAAAAAATGGTTTCTTGTCACCTGTATCTTCAGGAGGTTTGGGGTGTTTTATCCCAGTAGATATGGAACCTGCAAAGGGAGTGGTTAAACCTAATTCCCAGGGAATGCTTGTTCCCCAGCACAATGCCACTAATGCAAGCCAAGCCCCCAAATCTCTGTCAGAACAATGCAAAGGACATTTTCTAGGAGGAATGGAAGCCCTGGTCCCACAGGGGTTTACAGGAGGGGTGAAGTAACACAGAGCTAAAGATGATGATGATGATGATGCATTCTCAGATGTCACCAACCTACCGACCTAGGATGGAAAAACTTGAACTAAACATTTTTCTTCTTTACATTCTGATTTATTTTTGCCAATCCCAGGTTGGATTCAGTGTTTTAACAGAGACTGGTAGGACCCTCCATGCTTTAAAACACACAAAAGCCAGCTGGAATGTAAACACAGGTCATCTGAAATCCGGGGTGGCCTTAATGGTTTTAAAAAAGAAATAATAAAGTATTTTTAAATGTGAATGTGACGACTGGTGCCTTGATTTCCTTTCCAGGCCAGTGCTGTGGTGGGGCTGGGACAGAGGCCCCTGGGACCCTCTGCTGGCTGCCTCCTGGAGTCACCCAGAGCAGCTGCCAGCTCCTGACTGGGTCCCTGCCTGGGTGACCAGCAGCTCTGAGCTACACCAGTGGTTCTGTCCCATCCTCACATCAGGGAGCTGTTAAAAAGCTGTGTTAGGGCTGTTCACTCCATGCAGTGTGTCTGGTGAGGATGTTTTAAAGGCAGAATGATAGTTAAGATGTTAAAGGGCAGAATGAAGCATCTTTAAATCTTACAGATTGACTGCCAGACACCTTTTCACACATCATCTATGTTGATACATCTGCTTCATCTGTGGGGCTGCTGAGCTGCCACCCTGCACTGTCCCTCCACTCTCAGCACTGGGAGCACCAACTGGGAGGCTGTGTCACAGGGAATTCTTCTCCTTCAAGACTCTGGAGATTTAGCAGGCTGGTCAGAGGGTGCTGAAGTGAAATTTAGAGGAGAGGGTAAAGATTCACCTCAACTAGAGGTGACAGAACGTCTCTGATGTCCCTGGGCCACCAAACCACTTTGTGGTACTTGCTGGAAGGGTGCTCTTCTGCTCTCAAAAGGTTTGTGGAACCAGGTAACTGTGGAGCAAAGGGCTCCTTCATTTGGCTGCTTCCTGTTGTACTCCAGATAAATAAATGAGCTAAATGAAAAATGCTGTAATTACAGATTCTGCTCCCTTTCCACACTGAGCCTGCAGCCCCTCTGGTTCAGCTGAGCAAGGACTCACATGTGGGGTCTTTCCTGAGGGCTTGAAATGATTCCTACATCACGAAGGCAAAGATGAGGATTATGAAGGAGCTACCTGAACTTTTCTGAAGGAGCACAGAGGCTGAAGAGGAGAAAAATAGTTTAGGACACATAAATGTCCTATAGAACTAAAAATAACTCATTAAATCAGCACTGATTGCTTTTAAGAGTCACAGGATTCCTTCTACTGCAGTTATCACATCTAGATGTTGACAGATGACAAAGGAGATGGCTGGAAGAGCTGAGAAAAGAGGAGGAGATGTTGACCAAGGCTCTGAACCAATGACCAGCAAAAAGCTTGGGTGAATAATGTGATTTGGTGACCAGGGAGCATTCTAGACATACCCTTAAGGCTTGTGGGCAAGTGGTTTTACAGAAATGCCACCTCAGTCTTCCTTGTAATTAAGACAAAGTCAACACAGAGAGCTGTGAAACTGATTTTTCACCTCAACAAGCTGCTGTTTCCCTAATAAGTTTTTTTTTTGCCTGAAACTGCATTTCAGAAATCCCTATTCTAGCTGCAGTCTAATTGCTCAGTTCAGGGAAGAATTGAGTTCATTATTTCCACTTTAACTGATGGGAAGGTGAAAAGGAAAATCATCTCTCCTTAAAAAGCACAGACTTGCTGTATTAAGGGGCCTCTCCTGTTGCTGGACTGGAAGACTGGCTGGAAAGTGACTGAAAGTGATTTTTTTAATATCTTTTTTTTTAAAAAAAAGCATTATTACATTGGCATTTTTATCATGAGCACCTACCTTCAAAAGCCTTAATACTAAGATAGTATTGAGATGATAATCTTGAAGAATCTAGATATTTCCATGGGTATCTGTGACGTTTTCTAGTAAATGTTTTATTTTAGGCTTAAAAAAATAAAGATTTTAATTCCTTGCCTACTTATCAGGCCAGCACTGTCACGTGACCAGTGGGCAGATGCTGATTTTCTTGGATGGATACTGAATGAAACCAGATAAATCTGTCTCCTAACACTGTAGGAGTGTCCAACACACCAAGAATTTGGGTGGTGGCTCCTGCCAAATCCCAGCCAAAGAACTGTCTCTCTTCCTCCCTCAGTATCTATGTCCTTCTCTCTGTTTTTTTACAGGATAAGGATTTTTGCTGGGGCTTCCTTTTATCCATGTCTTCTTGTATCTCTGCAGGAAAGGCCTTTAGGTTTTCATTCACACAGGGGAGGCAGAACCTTTTCGAGTAGAACAAACTGCACTCCTGTAAAGAAAACAACATTATTAGCAGGATACACAAAATGGAGCTGCTTAAGTTCTAATCTCATTAAACCACATTTATATGTAGAATTCTTCCAAATTAAATTACTCTTCTAGGTTGAAGTATTCCAGCGATTTTGCTTCTTTCTAGTCAATGATTCCAACATCTGGTTAGAGGTAAGTGGGTGAAAAAAAGCCACCAGCTAAACATGACTAAAGGCATCAGGAGGGATGGATTGGGACATCGTTCTCAGAGTCATGGATGCCATGAGTTTCACCTAAAAAAACTGAGAGGCTGTGGGCTCTCCCAGACTTTAGCTGCTTTTTTTTCCCCCATAACTCCCCCCTAAACTACTCTTCTTTCTGTTAATTTCTTTGCTGGTATTGCCCTAGAAGAATGCTAAAAAGTATAAATGTTATATCAGTATCACAGGGATGTCCAATACCCCAAATAGGCAAATTAATTTGGCTAAGACTGTTTGATATTTCCTCCATTACTCACATTCACCTTGGTCAGCATAAACTGAAACCACTGATGGCCAGCTTGAGCTGACATCTCTGAATTCTTGGTGGTGAACTCTAAAAGCTGCTGTGAACAAAGAATTTTGTTATTATATGACCCGACACGTTTTGCTCACAGCTGGGTTGGCCAGCAAGTGTCACAGACCCAGGATTTCATTTTTCAACCAGTCAGCTCTAACCAGGTACTAGTTGTTGAAGAGAAGGAAGCAAACCTGTGGAGTATTTTCATCTACTTGCAGCACAGAGCTGGGACAAGTGGAGGAGAAGCTTATTAATGCATTATTCCCTGTGGAGAGACTGAAGTCCACGGTTCTCCCGGCGTGCTGATGACTAAATTCCAAATAGGATTTAATGGGTAAGCTGGAGCTGGTGTTGCTGATGGATTATTCTTGGGGATTTAAGCAAGAATAAAGACATCAGTTTGAATGGCTCAGGACATCTTTTGAGGAATAACAGAACAGAGTTTTCCCCCCGCCATGGTCATTCGCAGCTGGCCTTTCTCGGGGGGCTTGGCTTGGATGTCTCTGTGTTTCTATTCTTGCTTTTGTTTCCCGTGTCCCTGTCTGGACTTCAGCAGTACAGTCAGGAGATGATTCTGTCGGGACCACAATCAGCCTGCTTCTGTGCTGCTTTCCAGCCTGAGAAACAACTTCTCTTCATCTATTGTCCTCTTCTGCAACGAGTGCCAGGCGCCTTCGCATTCAGAGCTAGCGTGAGGCCTTGGTCTTTGAACAGCCCTGAAACTGGATTTCGGTTGCACAACCTCCAGAAGCCTATTGTTTTTTGTCTCTTGGTATCCTTAATACTTTAAGCTGCCAATTAAAAAGGGCAGATTAGAGTTTAGGTTGGCCCTGCCATTCCTGTTTGTATTGCACCATGGCGCAGGGCTCCCGCCGCCTCCAGGGTCGTCCGCCCGCCTCCAGGGTCGGCTCCCGGCTCGGCCGCCGCGGGCAGCAGCAGGGGAGGGAAGAGTTGTCCCCTTCTTCTGCAGGTGAGCAGCTCCAGCGTCACCCTGCAGCTCCCCACGGGCACACACGTGCCTGACTTACATCCTTTTAGCTGAAGCAAGCTGCCAGCTTTTGCTTATTTTGGCCAACGGGGCCTGCACAGATCAGGAATACCAACCCCTGCGCGTCTGGGCGCGGGGCCCACGCACCCTCACTCCTCCTCCCTCAGGTGTGGGATTGTTCAAGCCAAGCTGTTGTTTTAAAGCCCTGAAAATTACACTCATTATCTATAGTTAAGCCCTTCTTTGACCATTATTCCTGATGGGGTTCTGTGTTTAATCAGTCTTTAATACGTTTCGCTCTTTCCGTGACCAAGGCCGAAAGGAGCCGTTTCAGTTTCAGACTGAACAGCCCAATTCAGACAAAACTGAGGTGCCCAAGCACGCTGCCAGTTCACTCCCGTTTTGCCATGGATCAGGTCTTGAAGTCGTACAGACAGGGGTGGCATCGTTGCCAGGCTGGTGAAGGAAACTCCCTGCAAAGGGAAGGTTCTGCCTGACCACGTCCCAGCCTGACCCCGCGCGACCGGCGGGTGAGTGGAAAGTAGCTGCAGCATTACATTGATCATTTAATACCCACAGCCACGTCCAAGGGCAGGGCTTAGTGACCTTCTGCTGAGGCAAGCAGCAGGGGGTGAAACTCGCTCCCTTCCCACCCTTCCTCTCCAAAAGCCACCTCTTTTCCCATGTTTAGTAAGTGTTGGGATAAAATAAAACCCTACACTCTGTTACATGACTAATATCACCAGATTAGAGCATTTCCTCTCCCCTTTTCTAAGCAGAAAGGGGAAGAAGGGCACTTGACCCTCCTAAAGCATTTTTATTGCTTTCCTTTTTGTGGGGTTTTGAGACCTTACAGTTTTACTGGAGTAAATGAGCTGAGTGAGACTGAAGAGAATGTTTGAAGCCCTGAGTTTAGAAGCATTACACACAACAGTTATTAGGCTGTGACTTTTGCTGGCACGGGAGCTGTAAGGGCCAGCACTTCAGCTAGCATGGGTTGTCTCATGAAAAGCCTAAAATCTGATCTGATCTGGATCTAAGCCTCCTTAGATGTGCAAGTTAGCAAATTGTATCCAATCCCATCACCAAAAGGTCAGAAAGGTCTTAATTTTGTCATGGGTTAGGCTTGTACTATTTTGAACCCACACAAAAAATGAAAGCAACCTCTCCTTAGAAACTTTCTGTCCAATTGGTGCAGCTTCTTTGTGAAGGAGAGCCACAAAAGAAGGATTTCCTTTAGCTTTAATGTTGCAACACTCTGGGAACAGTGCAGGGCTGAGTTCACCTCCTTGGGTGTAGCACAAACAGGCCCCAGCCCCCAGAGCTGTTCTCCTAACTCTGGCGCTCTCTGCTGCCTGGGAGAAGTTTGTACTTCTCTGGATTTTTAATTCTCCCAACGTGAGAGAGGAAGAGTGTGTGTTTCCTTTCGTTGTGATGTGGGTGTTTCAAGCACTCGTCGTGATTTCTGCAGATCTCTTTCAGTGTTACCTAAGCACTGTTGCTAAAGAGGTTTTGAAACCACAGCAGTTGCTGTGATTCACTGTCTGGCCCGGCCAGTTGGGTGAGAAATTTATTCTCAGTTATTTACAGCCAAGGTTTTGCTCTGTGTGATAGCATCAGGGGAATCTTGAAGGCTCAGATAAGAAGAAGTAAATGATTGGTGTATTTCTACAATAGGCAGGAATGTCAAAAAGATCAGAAGAGGCTTCTATGAGCTCACTGTTAATATCCTCTATACATTTCCATGCCCTAGATTAACTGAAACAATTCATAAATCTTTGAAAAGAAAACCCCTCACCCCCCCATTCAGAAACACACACTGCTTGGAAAGATCCTGAGAGGCTGAAAACACTATTTCTGCCAAATCTAACTTGGAAACGCTTGTTGAAAATCCTTCATAAATTCAAGACACTTCATTTGGGAAGGAAAATAGCTAAATGTGCTCAAGTTTGCCCCAAAGTAGTAAGATCTTGCTCCTGTGTGAGCTTTGTCTCCACACGACTGCCCTGAGCTACGTGGCTCTGGAAACTTGAGCCCAGCTACCAAAAATGTCAGCAGAGAGCACTGGTGCTTCACCTGCCTCCCCCATTCTCAGTTCCAGAAAGGAACAACACCAAAAATCTCACTTGCAATCTCTAGTCTGACTTTTTTTTGTGATTTTCTTTCATTTAAATGACACAAGAGACTTCAGAAATAGGAAACAAACCTAGCTGGGAGAAATCAGCATGCTGCTGCACACTCCTCTTAGGAGAGTGGACCAAATCCCTTCTTGGTGCTGACTCCCTGCAAGTCAGAATAGCAGCTAAACCTGTCCAAGTGCTGTCTTTGGCTGTAACAAACCTAGCTGGGAGAAATCAGCATGCTGCTGCACACTCCTCTTAGGAGAGTGGACCAAATCCTTTCTGGGTGCTGACTCCCTGCAAGTCCAAATAGCAGCTAAACCTGTCCAAGGGTGCCCACTGCCTTTTGGCTGTGTCTGTCCAACCCTCTACATTCTGTCAGTATAATTCCACCCTTCCTCTCCTCAAGATTCTCTCCTCAGCTGTCTGGCATTTGGATGTAAGCTGCTGCCCAGGCTGCCCAGATGATCTCCCCTTGTGCTCTGACAAGGCCAGGGGTCTTCCTTTCTCCCACCAGAACTATAATTGGCCACCACATGTGGGGGGAAAAGAAAAGTCTCCCAGCTTTACAAAGTCTTTAGCAGGTCTGTTTGTTTTACAGCTCCCACTGCCAGGATCATGTCACTGGAGCTGGCCCCAAGCACCATTTCAGCACGAGCCCAAACTATTGCATGAGTCCTGAGTCTCTTTCAACCACACAACAGGCTTGCTGAGGGAAAGGAGTGGAACCTAAATTTTCTCAGTTCATTGTACTGCCTCCAGACACTAAAAATTGGGTAATAATTTGTCATCATTTTTTGCTCTGAGCTCACAGAAAACAAAGGGGCTGGTTCTGCAGTGAGGAGAAGGAAGACAAGTGTAATCTCACACCACCTTTCTGCACAGCACTCAGATTTCATAGTTTTCAGGTTGCCTACCAGCTGCTACTCAAATTCATTCTTCTTCAGAGAGCTACCATGGCATTGCACAACTCTGCTGCCTGCTCACTCTCTGCATTAGCTTTCCCAAACAGGACAGCAGCCCTGTGCTGTGGGTGCAAACATAACAATCCAGGGGTGTTTATATTCCCTTTACAGAAAAAACAAATCTACTGCTCATCTAGTGTCATCTACTGAACCTTAAAGGTTGTGAAGGGATACTTGATCTCCCTTGTGTCTCCTTCTGCTAGGAAAATGGGAAAGAGCACTCCCTGTGTTGCTGAGGCTGGACTCCACTCATCTGTGAAGAGAACACCTAACAGTTGCTGATCATTTCCATTTAAAGGCCTTTATCTGGGGGAATCCACAAGAACATACACATCTTGCCTTAAAAGAAGTGGGTTGTCTGGGTTTTCCCTTTTTGGTCCCCAGGGTTTGAACAGAAAGAACTGATTGGAGAGGTTTGTTTTGCTTGTTACTTACTGGCCCAACGCACACTGCCCTGCTACACAAACTGCAGTGAGACCCAAGGATGAGGAACCTGTCCTTGGCAGGGGTGAAAGGATCCTTCATGACATAACTCTCCTCCAAAAGCCTACAAGAGAATGAATTTCAGGCTCGTAAGGGCAGATTTCACAGCAGAGGAGAGAGGAAAGGGGGAAACTGTGGAGGAAACTGAAAAGGGATCAGCCCTTTCTACTCAGTTTGCTCAGCCTGGTGTTGTTCATGAGGCAATGCAGGTCCCATCCTTTCCAAAACCAGCACTGTGGCTGCCTTCAATCCTATACTGCACCTCCCACCTACCTCCCAAAATCAGGGCAACTGGTGATCCTCTTAATGTGATCTCACTGAGGTTTCTCTCAGTGCTGTACCTTAAAATATTGGTTTGTCTTTCATTTTTATGATGGCCCTGCCTTAGCTTGGCCAGCTTCAGCACTTTGTCAAGTTGTCATTTCAATGGCACAGCTCTTCCTTAGAAGTCCTCTGCCAAAGCTGTGTGAGTGTGAAAGAAAGAAAAAGGTTTTGCTGCCCTCAGTGATGTCACTGCTGTACAGCTATGGTTCCCACCTCTTGGAAGAGTGAGCTGGTGCACAAGGCTTCATGGCTGGCAGGTCTCTTGCAGCACTGCATTCAGAACATGCCAGTAGGCCAGGAAGCAAGCCAAAAAAGTGTGCAAAGCTGTTTCTTATATGCCTGTGCAGAAGTGTTAGGCTTTAGCATCATCCTTTGACTTTTGCAATCTCAGCCAACCCAAATCAAGCTGACACCAAGCTTGGATAACCTACAGTTGAGACTCCTGTTCTGGGCTGGCAGTTTTCTGGCAGCACTGCATTCAGAACATGCCAGTAGGCCAGGAAGCAAGCCAAAAAAGTGTGCAAAGCTGTTTCTTATATGCCTGTGCAGAAGTGTTGGGCTTTAGCATCATCCTTTTACTTTTGCAATCTCAGACACCAAGCTTGGATAACCTACAGTTGAGACTCCTGTTCAGCTTTAGAGTCATAGAATCCTTTAGGTTGGAAGAGACCTCCAAGATCATCAAGTCCAACCCTTGAGCCATTAGGGCTCTAAAGTCCTCTGCTAAAACAGATCAGAATCTGTCAGGGTTGGAAGGGACCACAAGGATCCCCCAGTTCCAACCCCTCTGCCATGAGCAGGGACACCTCCCACTAGATCAGGCTGCCCAGAGCCTCCTCCAGCCTGGCCTTAAAGACCCCCAGGGATGGGGCCTCAACCCCCTCCCTGGGCAACCCATCCCAGGGTCTCCCCACTCTCCTGGGGAAGAACTTCTTCCTCACATCCAGCCTGAATCTGCCCACTCAGGCTCTGTAGGGACAGACCTGATCAAAGGCAGGCCCAAGGAGAACAGCCCAAGCAAGTGGTGATCAGTTCCCATCAGACAAGGAACTGAGCAGTCTGAGTGGCATCAAGTGCTGAGTACATCCCTGACTTCTCCAGTTCCAGTGAGCTCCTGGCCAGGTCTGTCTGATGGGGTTGTTGACCAGCATGGCCCCAAGAGAGCTACCAGTGCATTTAAAGCCAGGGGCTTTGTTTCATGGGGAGTGCAGTGTCTGCAGACAAACCTGTAACTTCATAGTTCCTGGTCAAGCTACCCTTGCTTAGAAAAGAAGGAAAATGCTTTGTTCTCCTAAAATGTGAATGTGTACCAAATTTCCACACACTCCATCATTGTACAACCTGCCAAAGAACTGCCAAATCCATGCAGAAAAAAAGCACTGCTGTTCCAAACTCCACAGCATGTCAAACAGCCCTGAGAAAGTGGTTTGGTGTATGTCATCCCTGCTGTGTTTACATGTTGCCCAGCTGACAGGGCTGTGAGGAAAGAGCTATGCCCAAAAATGCTAGGCTGACAGTCCCCAGGATTCTAGTATGAAAATAATGGGGTGGGGTGGTCAGTGGGGTTAGGAAGCAGGTTAAATACAGCTTGGCATGGTGTTGAAGTTGGACAGGAAAGTGGATTTTTATATTTTTCATTTTTTTTTTGTGTTTTTCATCTGAGCACCAATGAAGTGTGTGATGTAGAAGGCTGTACTTACACAACAGAGTGTGTGTTTGGTGGCTTCTGCCCATAGTAGGTGTAGGGAGCTGTTAAGCCACAGAGCTGACACGTGAACTCTCCTGTAGGCTGAACTTCTTTGGGAGCATCCATCTTTATGCTACCTATAAAGAACACAAAATTCTTTTAGCTACAAAATGCAACAGTGGGAACGTGCCTGCAAGAAGGTTAAACTGATGTGGGACATCTTAAATCCCATGGACTCTTGCAAACCTTGATTAGTAGATCTTCTCTTCCAAATCAAGTTTGTTTCCCATGTCCCAGTCAACTTTCCAAATGCCTTGGATGGGTTTAGAAATTGCAGCCTTGCTCTGAGGTTCACCTATTCATTTGGATCTTGATCTGTAAAAGAATTTAGGTAATGAAATCCATGGCTGTGATTTGGCAAACCCTTTGCTCAACCATGGCCTGGGCTCCCACCCCAGTCCAGTTCTGCAAGGCCTGTCTCCTCCCCCCAAACTGCAAATGGGGCTGGGAAAGGGTTTGGGACCCCACTCAGGAGGCAGGTGGAGGTGTTGCAATGCTTTGCTGCATCTTTTTCTTTGCTTCTAGTTCACCTTTGGACAGAGTTTTGGAACCTTTAATGCTGGCTCCCTGCTCTTATCTGGCTCCCTGTGGCAATGGAGCTGATGTAATCACCTTGTGCCTAGACAGCCTTGGCCCATTTGAGCCACACAGGAGAGAGGAGGAGGTACCTTTAAAAACTCAGGTCCTGAAGCTTTTATTAAACCAGGCAGAATTGGGAGACTATTTTATCCTCATGGAGGACACTCAGGTATTTCTACAAACCAGAGAATCTGCAGATAGGGAAGCTGGTGTCCACAGTCTGTGGTTTCACTCATCCTACATCACACTAGTGACTAATAAATAACAAATAAAATAACTGCCTTTCTTTTTTTCTTCCAATGTCTTTTTCTTCTCTTGGTTTGGGGAACTAAACTGGCTTGCAGAGGAATCCAGCAGCTGCTCACAGCAGCACAAGGTAAAAGGCCAAGCTGCAGAGGCAGGAGAAAGGGAGGGCTGAGGTGAGGGACCTGCATTTCCCTCTTTCACTCACAGCAGGCTGCTATTTCTGCTCACCCTGAGTGCTGAAACTGAACCCCTGCAGACACGTGCTGCAGAGGGGAGTCAGGGGCAAGGTGAAGCAGAGCTGTGAGGACTGGTCAGCTAATGCTCCAGAAGGACAGGAAGCCCTGAGATCCTCAGATGGTGCAGAGGCTTCAGGACAGACTGGACACTGGTTTCATAAATAAATCCAACTCCACAATACCTCAGGCAACTAGATTTTTTTCCAGAGTGATGGGACCCTTGACTATCATGTGTTTTCCCTGCCTCACAGGGATGCTTGAGAGAATTTAATTTGCTGAAGTGCTTTCACATCTATCAGCCAGATATAAGGCATGCTACCTATTTCTCTATATATATTAAAACTGGGATCCTCCAAACTACACACAAACCCAGCTAAGCCTCTTCTTTGAACCCTGATTTTTCAGGTTCAAGCACCTCAGACATACCTACCACACAAACTCCCCTTTCTGTAGGTAGCCAGCAGCAGCACCAAGACACCCACCTGTCTGAATGAGATTAAACAAGGGAAATAATCAACCCCATGGGGCAGGGTGTTGGAAGTCACACCTATCAAACAGAGAGGACTAACGTGGTGGTTTTTTCTTTGATGCAAAACACTAAGAACAACAAAGAAAGAGTATTTATGGCAGTGAGGATGATAGACTTTGGGATGAAAGTGTCCTTATTCCAAGTCAAAATGACAGCTCTGGGTTCAGAGTTAGCCACAGAAGCACCTGCTCTCTTACAGAACACTGGCATGTCCAGCAGAATCTGTGCAGTGACTCCCACGGGGAAGGAATGACATCTATGTCCTCACAGATCTGTGCCCATGCCAGTTGAAAAGCATATGATCCTCCCTGCAAGGCACAGATGAATTTAGGGTGCTTTCCAGTTCACTCCCAGCTTACACTGGTGTCAGCTGCACCACGTTTTGTGTCACTGGGAGCAGGGTTTGTCCTGAGAGCTGGTCCACACAGCTCCACTTGGGGAAGTTCAGCTCACTGACTCGAGGTGTGAAGCTAACAAGCATACACATTCCAGAGTAAAGTTTTCAAAGTAAAACCATCTTCCTTCTGAATAAAGAAATTTAATGGTAATTTAATAAGCTTTTTAAATATGCATTCACATAAATAAGCAGGCAAGTCCTAAGAGGCACCCTCTCACAAGCTCCTAGCATTCCCAAAAAGCTTGTATGCAGCTGAAGGAACTGTATCTTTACATCAGAGAGCAAATGCAGAGAAGCAATTCAGGGATAAAACCACAGTCAAGACAGACATTGGTTTATCACCAAGTCAGCTTGTTGGTTTGGCTATACACCATCTCAGCAAGATGCCTGATATAGGGTGGTTTGGGCTGGCAGGGACCTTCAGAAGTCATCTAGTCCAATGTCCCTGAGTGAGCAGGGACATCTTTAAGCAGATGAGGCATGACAAGGTGTCCACCTCCCCTTCCAGCAGCCAGATGAAACATAAGGGAGAACCTATTTCTCTCTCTGGTAGGATGAAGGATCTCTTGAGAAGATAAAAGTCTAGGCCACTAATCCCTTCATAATAATGTGAAGCAAATCTGAGCCCTCCATTGACTCAAATCACCCCTGATGCTACCACTGGCTTTTTTCTCTCCTCTTGAAAAATCTGGAAGCTGCACCATGTCCCAGTAACACATCAAACACCTGGCTGCCTGCTGCACCCTGAAGAAGCCTTTTAGAACAGCTTGTCTGGAACCCAGTTGTGCCCAGGCCTTTGCCATTTTGGCTGGAAGCTGCAAGGTACTTCAGCACACACTCTGAGCACAGACAGAGCTCTTCTGGAAACAGCTACTCACAGGGGCTCCATCACCAAACAAGCCCTGGGCTCAGCAGAAACCTGCCAAGCCCAGCCCAGAAGCTGCAGGAGGGGTGTGAGGTTGGACCACGTGCCATGGCAAAAGAAAACCACACAGATCTGAAAGCCATGCTAAGGGAATAATTGCAGGGGGAGAAAGGCACAGACTAGACAGCTCTGTGAGAGTGCTCCTCCACCTTGTCTGAGACTGATACGTGGGATGGATTTGGGGAAACAGCTCTCAGTGCACTCCTCTAGGGACTCCTAAAAACTTCAGGGCAGTTCTGCTCAGAGCATTCTGCTCCCAGGCCTGGAAGGCACACCAGAAATAACAAATCACCATTAAACTGTCAGGGTCAGTGGCAAAGCAGTGGCACAGGTAAGCAATCTGATTTTCTTTGCTGCAGACCTTCCTAGCACAAGTTTTTACCATGCAGAGGTTCAGCCCCTCAGCACTCCACAGGAGACTCATGTATCTGAGTCACTGATAAACTAGAGAAACTACACAATAAGCAAATTGCCCATGGATGTAGACTTGGATTTGAAAGGCTGTCAGATAAAACCCACACTGACACACCTTTAATCCTCTCCTATTAAACCCTTGTTTCTTTTACCCTCCAAAATTTCCCTGCAGCACCTACTGGTGATGAGGCAACAGCCTATTAAAATATCCCCAGCTTGAGTCTCTATGGGAAGGAGCACTTCCTAACAGCAGGGTGGGAGTCCCTCAGCTCAAAGCCAAGTGATTCTGCAGTGTTTGGTCTGATAGAAATGTAAATATTCTTGGGCACCAGGAATGCACTCACCTCCCTCAGAAAAGTGATCTGCTCAGGTAAGAGCTGAAACAGCAGAACCTCCTCACTTGCTGGTGAACTGCCCCGTGGACAACCCTCTCCATCCAGTTCCTTTGTGTTGTTGCCCTGAATGCTGCTGTCACCTGCTGGCTGCCTCCCTGCTCTTCCTTGAGGGGATTTACCTTCAGCTCAGAGCAACAAATCAGCCCAGGAATGTCATTCCAACCAGGATGGCCTTTTGGAGTCACCTCTCCCAAAGACTGAGTTAAACCTCGACTTGTTGGAGCAACTTCTCCCTTCAGGCCTGGGGGATTGGGCTGAGACTTCCCTGCTCTAAAGGAACTGAGATCACTGCAGCACACCTCCAAACTCTGCTTTTTTCACAGCTTATGTGGCTTCCTCAGGGCAGCAGGACCAACAGCCTAGGTGCTCACAGATGGGAAAGGAAGCACGGCTTCTGAGCAGCTGTAGGAAATGTTTGAAGAGGATGTGTCAGAAGAATGAGAGGAGTAATACAGACAAGCAAATCTAAACCATTTCTTAAGTAAAAAGGCTTCACAGCCACAAAACGAGGCTCCAAAAGGCATCTATGATTCTATGGCCTGTTGTTAGGAGGTGTGATTTAACAAAGCTGAGAAAGCAACACTTAGAAAAATCTAGCCCAGCTCCTCCTTAGCTGAACAGGGCAGGCAGCCAGCTCTGAATTAGCCAGCATTTAATAAGGAAGACTCTCCAGTTAGGTGAGGACTTAGCAGCTGCAGGCAGGGCTGCTGCAGCGAGGCACTAACCCCTGTATGGCACTGTCCTCTGGTGGCCACCTCGGAGCTGCACAGCCCCGGGGGCCGGCAGGACCTGGCACTGCTGCTGCTGCTTCAGCACCTCACCTGCATCACAGAGAAGGGCAGAGGCCATCTCCGTGCCTGAGAAAGAAGAAATCCTGACAGAGGAGCAAGAGCTACAGCCACAAGTTCTGCCTTTCCTTCCCCTCAGGACTGATCTGTGTCCATATCTGGTTTGCTGCTCGATCCTCCTCATTCCTCCTTCTTCTCTAAGGAGAATTCCTTTTTCTTAGAGGAATAATTCCTTCTTCTTCTCCATGGCCATAGGTTATGCCCTGCTCTGAGCTGATTTTGTCTCCCTTCCAAGCTGTGGCTCCCTCTTATAGCTTTGTTGGATTAAGATAGTGGGGAAAAATAAATCAGGATGGCTCTGTTAATACATGTGATGATGATTCCTTGAAGAAAAGTCATGGAGGGGCACACATTTATCACTGAAAGCATCAGCTTGGTTAGGCACAATCTAAACTTAGTGCCACACTTTCCAAGAGAGTCCAAAAATAGGAGCACTGAGACTCTGTGGAAACACAAGAGGGGAGGCTAACACAGTGTTTTGGGTAATAAGACACTGC